TAGAAGCGTGGCATATAAATATGAGTCATCATGCTTTGAATAGGGATGACGGCGCCTATTTGCCAGAGGAATATATGCATCTTCTTGGCAGGTGACGTCATCCCTTGGGTATTTAAGAAGCCACGATCGCAGTTTTAGATCACCCCTGATACAATTCGACTGGGCTTTGTAATCATTTATTTAAACCAGAGTAGCGAGCGAAACATGTTTAATCAATTTGTCCTTGGGCAATGACATTAATACCACAAATGCTCGTGTATAAGTGATGTGCAACCACTCCCATGAGATTCAAAGGACAAAGATATTTTCGCCATGTTGGATGAAATTTGCATTGCAAACAAGCAAAATCCTTTGTCAATGTCATCCAACACGACGACAATGACGTAACATGCACACCACCTATATGTTTGATATTTTAAAGTGAACGTGCTGACAGACAAATACAGACAGACACACCCACGCATACCAACGCGGATGAAAACACAACCCAAACGAAATAGAACAATAACCGAAAAGCATGCACATTGCCTTAATACCTGCAATTTCAACATCGCCTTAACCTAGCAGGCAGGCTACGCCTTACCTTAAATGCGGGCGAACTTGAAGAAAAAATGAAAGTGTTTACAACTTGTTCGAAATAAAGATACCGTACCTTCAGGTGCCACTTTCACTGGAATATTTTTTCTCCTAAGACTCTGGTGAGAAAAAATGAAACACAAAGGCTTCATTTTAAGGCTATATACTGTACGTCTTTTTTGTAAAATGAAAGTGTTTTTACGAGACTGTTATGAGAGTGGGAGTACGTAATAAAACGTGGGCATACGCAGCTTAACCTGAACAAGTCAACGTTCAGGACGCTCCTGGCATAAGGGAGCCTCTGGCAGTCTCCTTATCACTCATGTCTGATCACGAAACACAGCCACGGGTACTTTGTTATGATTCGAAAACATTAATTTAATACTTACAAGGCGGTCCCCCTGTGACCCACCCTGCCAACATGTGTCATGTGTGGGAGGAAATCGCTATACCCGGAGACAACCAACTATAATGTCATGAGGTAGCACACATAACCCACCATTTCAGAGATGAAAACGTTTGTACTGATGGTGTACAGTACCCTATGAATGCGCTACCTAAACAAGTACAGCACTAATTATCTTACCGTCGGACGTTTATAGTAGTCGATATGAGGTCCATTGTAGTAAGGAGTGAATGTCTTTTGTAGGTCTAGCCCAACTGTACAATTAGAAAGAAAAAAAGTGTTAATATCGTATCGGTTAAGCCACAGAAATACATACAGTATGTATAAAACGCACAACTTGCCTTATAACAACAAACATGCAGCGGAGGTTTACCAATGCTATTTCAACTTGTTATCAAGAGTGTTCGCACTTGTTGACAAAGTTGCTACAGTGTTTTCTTGACTTAATAGACTTGTTACAAGGTGTTTAGTACTGTCTTGCAATTCAAAACTTGTTAACCAGTTGTCAGTGACAACCTGTAGCAACTTGATAAAATGACAACATTGTTACAAATTGTTGACTACAAGCCTATTGCGAACGTATCTTGTTTACAAGTTGTGAGATTTTAACGTGTGTCGCCGATCATGACTTTTATTTAAGTACCTAGATCTTGACTAATCACATTAATCGTTAGTTCAGAAGACGAATAAGCTCGTTTAACTTCGATCTTTTTCGACCATGTTCCAATAGCGAAGAATACAGCGTCCCTAAATTGAGTTGCATCATTAATATTTCATCTAACCTGACAATCAGGGTTTCACTTCTGCTACCCACTGGGATGAAGAAAATTCAAAAGAAATCAATGTTTAATGAGGTGTTGTATCTACCTATTGTGTGAGTGGTTCAAGTAAAAACGAAACGTTATGTGCAGCATACCGCGGAACATGACCTTTTTGCTACTTCATAACCATGCAAACATAGTGTCAACTAATACATGTTTCAAAAATCATTCTCCGTGATACCGAGAATGATTTTCTTAAAGGGATACGGCAGTATATATTTTTATTATTTCATTTTAAAGAACTTTTAATATTATATGTTAATCTCCTTTACCGATTTTGCGTAACTTTATTATTTCTTGAAATATTTTGACTTAAAATAATTTGCTGTCCGCCATCTGGGATTAATTTTTATCTCATTATCGGTGATTTTAGTGACGTCATAAGCAGGGTTAGCCATATAAAACTACATCTAAATGACCAAATAACGTTAAGTCTTGTTTGAAAAGTCGCCAGACAGCTTTTTATTTCAAATAGTTACTGAAGTATATGATTTTGGGTAGGATTTTGGGAAGTATATGATTTTACAGAAGTATATGATCTTATGATGTCACATGCATATCCGCCAAAATCCAAGATGGCGGAAAGCTCGCTGATTTGTGATTTTTTCTGTTCAAATATCTCAAGAAATAATAAAGTTACGCAAAATCGGTAAAAGAGATTAACATATAATTTTTTAAAAGTTCTTCCAAATGAAATAATAAAAAAATATATTGCCGTATCTTTAACATATGTATTAGTTGACATTACGTTGGTTATGACATAGTAAAAAAAGTCATGTTCCGTATGCACTCACATGTACAAAATTCTCCTGGTTTGCATATTATTCCTTCATTTTCTCAGTTTTCTAAAACTATTTTGAAATCATGATCGTTTAAATCCTTGCGTTTCACATGCTATATACAGCTTTCGCTTCCGTGTTGTATAAGATATGCAATCTCTCGCCCTCAGCTCGGGTTTGTATTGTCTTATACAACACGGCCGCTCATGCTGTATATATAGATTACATGAAATTGAACTAAAATCTAGAAAAAATATAACATTGACCAAAAGTGTTTATATGGCAAGCATCACTTCCGGTGAAATGGCGGACTGTGACTGGCTGAGAAGCAACTTTCAGCGGTCATTACAGCAAAACTAAATGAACATTTGAAAATTATATTTTAATTTGTTATTAATAAGATACCTGCAAATGGTTTTTAGTGCATGAATAAGAAGGAATACATTGGTATTTTTTTTTTCTTCGACCATGTGTATACCACGCCACTAATATGTACAAAAAAAGACCTCGGTCCGATATTTCTCTGTACAGACCTCGCGTTCGGTTGATAAGAAGTTAATATCTTCATGAAGCGAGGACAACCAAATGAATGTAAATTATTTGGTCATGGTTCAGGATGCGACCGTTGACCAAGTGCGTAATGATAAGAGAGAAGTGCTGCTTGACAATTGTGAAATCATATACTGTTTCATTTTGTCTCTACTTTATTTTTGTCTTCGTAATTCCCTTCCAAATCCAAAAAAATGAGATTGATTAGGAAACGGTAGCTCACTTACACCCCCTTTGCTTTTAGCCTCGGTCAAACGATGATGCATGTGAGAGTTGTCAGTTGATGAGAGTTGCAACACTCCCTAGCGATTGATCGACTAGCATGCACTCGTAACTGGTTCAAATTTTTATGAAAGTTGTCAACTCTCAAGCAACGCTTGTTCTCGCGCTTGACCGGGGCATGAAATTTGAGAAAACTCTGGACTGATGCAAACTCTCGCTTTTCAACTCTCATTCTTGTTTGAGCAGGCTACGAAAGGTGCTCACCTTTCACCCTGCAACCCCCAGTAAATTTATCCCTGTATAACTTCAGAACTAAAACTCCAGAAAATGTTCAACTTACGATAGTCTTTGTTTATGAACAATTTGGTTGTCAGCGTCAGCAACAAGTAGAATGCAATAATGAAATCCTGTTGACTTGCCACTATCTTGACGTTTGATATAGTTGACCATAGTGACTGATATTACCAGCTCAGCTTTCGACACTCCGTAGTTAGATTTCTGATAAAATGACCAATGAATAATATACAGTATATGCTTTTGTGCATGATACGGTAGCTATTACGAATCTGAACCAAAGCCGGACTTAATGCGAAAGAGATTGTTAAGCAACTAGGGTCCAACCAGGATCCTTACCCTTATACCCATGCCATAACTTCAAAATTAGCCTTCACTGGTACTAATCACGTCTCAATCCTAACCTAATAAGCACCTTGGTAACAGGGGCTTATTCTTCTAAGGGTTGCATTTCAGTTAAGGGTTTTCATACGTACGTCGGTACGTACACCGAAAAGTTGAAATCCATTTACAAGCAACCAACTGGAATAACTGAATGAATAAAACGGCAACATTTAGTTTTGTGTATGATTTATAAAATTTATAAATTTTGTAAGTAGATGTATAGTCCGTTCTGTGCATGCTTACATTGCAACCTCCTGATCATCATACAAACAGTTTAACCGGGTTGCGTGTTCTTGTAAGCCTGATTATGCAACCTCAAGTTTATAAACAAGCTTGTTCTCAATTTCACTTCAACCCAGGGTAAAGTCAACCGGGTTTTGAATAACCAGCACGCGATCCGCAACTTTCCCCAGCCCGAACCGTAACCCAAGCTACATGCAACCTTGTACATCACTCTTGAGACAATTCCAGCCAATATTGCAAAGTGAATTAATGCACATTGACAAAAACAAACTTCGTCATCCCCTCTTCCCCAGTTCAATGCGCAGAAACAATTCTTTTAAAAAACACTGATGAATTTATCATAAGGGGTATGCGATTTTTGTATGGAGGGAAAGATAGCATCCTCGCCCTTAATTTATAGAATCTAGTTACTCACAGTTATTCAAAAGTAATCGGTTACAAGAAATATGCGCACGACAATTAAATACCTGTTCAATATCCACCTCGTATTTTGGTAGACTTGCAACAGCTTCTTTTACCTATAATATTAGTAATTGATTAAAAAAAATAAACATATAATTATACAACTTCGACATGATAGATTCAAATATAAATACCTGATTTCCAAATGGAGGGTGACGATTTAGAATCTAAAAAAAGAATTTAGCAGTTTGTGGTGCATTTGGTGAAGATCTATAGCTTTTTAGTTATAAGCTTTGTCACATCTTTAACGTTTACAAAATTGTAACTGGATAATCACGACAATCGTTCAAATAAGTAACTTTAAGAACAACATGTCTTGTATTATCCGTTGTATGAATTTTTTTGCAGTTTAAGGTTAAGACAGAGGTTTTTATTATATAAACATAAGTGTTATATAGAGTTTTGGCCACTGAGAAAAATCGTATTTAAACACACGTTAAAAATACGATATTTTTACGTGTGAAAATATCATTTGTTGTAAAACGCATTGCCACGTATACGTTTTATTGTTTTTCACTGAATTTTGTTTATATAATAAACAGAAAAATACATGGGTGCTTGGAAATACCAGATTTATTTCTCGTGTTGAACATGATATCTCACTCGTTCGCTGCGCTCACTCGTGAGATATCATGTTCAACACTCGAAATAAATCTGGTATTTCCGCGCACCCATGTATTATTCTCAAAATATGTTATAGTTGAGAAGACTTCTACTAAGCCAATTTGCCGAGGACTTTTCGCGGCTTGAAAGGCAGACGTTGTATATAAACAAAAAGTGAAAATATTTGGTTTGCTGTTGTAAACAGAGAAAAGACGACGTCTAAAACTCCCAAGGGACCTTTAATTATGCATTTTCTTTCTTCACTGTCATAAATTTCATTAATTGTATTAATAGCCGTCGCCGCCCTGCTAGCTAAAGGTCCTTGCATGGGTCGAACAAAGATAATCAAATATTTAAATATAAACAACGCACAAAAATAAAGTTCCTCCCCAAATACATCAGCACAAGATCTAAATAAATGAGTCCCTGATAGTCACACGTTTGCTTATAATGGCCGGGTCAATCATGCTTGAAATTATGACTTAATTAACCTCCATCGTATACAAAATTAGTCATTCTTTCAAACATAAGTGACTCCATTCTGTACTATACTGTACACGGCTAAAAACGATCAGGTTGTTGTGCAATAGTTGATGAAAACAGGATTGAACAATGTTTTGCAGCCCACATTGTTCACAGCTGTCAACAATATTGTTACACCCGATTCAGGCTCAACAATATTGTTCAATATTGTTGACAAGTGTAAACAAAGTGTGTAGCAAACCATTGCTCAATCCTGCTAAACTGGAGGCTCAGCGTTTTTGCGCGTGTAGTGCTAGGTGTGATTATCATGAATTCGATTGTTTAGAACTTATGTTGACATATTTAGGGGCGGACCATTAGAAATCTTGGGAAACATTAAAAAAAAGTGCAAAGAAAAATAACTGGGAAAAAATTCCTGCTACCAGTAGTTCAGAGAAAAAATCGTGCAAGCAAACGGCAACCTTTTAATTTGAATGTTTTATATTATATTGATTCATATTTAATTTATATAAGGGACCGGTCATTATTTATGGTGGGGGGTGGCACCGAAGAGAAAAAGGTTGGGTAAACAAAATTTTGAGTAAGTAAAAGGTTGGGTAAATGAAAAACAAAACACAAGGGTTGGGTAATAAAAAATTATTGTCATTTCCAAAGCATGACTCACTGAAGTATTGGGGACTAAAAAGCAATGGCATGCAGTGGACCCTACTCTGGGGCGATAACGAGATAATGCGAGTTTAAACAATTTTAGGTGATTTAAGCAAAATCTGCAATTTTTAAGCAATGTAAGTTTGAGCGATATATGGGGACGATATGCAGGTTACCCGTAAAGGAGCAACTAGCTCTGTGGGTTAAACCGGTCATGTGACAAAGATTGTAAAATAAAATAAAATAAAATAAAATAGATATAAGAAAACAATTAAAATTTTAGGGAATGCCGTTTTAGGTGTTTAGAGGTAATTTCAGGAATATACAATTATATCCCTGATGACTCCAATGAATTACCATTAACCTATGCCAAGCATCCAAACATGAGTGTGCCCACAAACACGCACACACATGCAGTGTTTGAAGCAAAATATACAATTTGACAAGAAAAGTTGAAGTCTGCTTGAGAACACCGCGGAAAAACGTCTGCGCATGCGTCAACCTTACCTGTAATAGTATTGCGAACTTGATGAGAAGCTGTTCCGAACGTTTCCGAAGGCTCAAAATGGCGGTAAAAAGGAGTGACTTCATTGTGTGTCTTTACAGCCAGATTTCGAGCGCAAAAATAAACATGTCATTCTAAAAACTAGGAATAAATACAGCCAGAAGGTTCAAGAAATTGTATTATACAAGAACATGAACTAAAGGTGATTGTTGACAAATTTATCGTCTGAAACATTTTGTTTATCAACTAAGCAACGACAATTTCCGAATTTTCGTTTGAGATACATTTCTTTAAAAAAAACTGTGTCGCCAAATATAAAAAATTTTCGTGTTCACAATAATTAAACTTTAGGATTTATTCTACAATTTGAGTGGGTTAAGAAGCTTAACTTTTCGAGAGTTTTCTAACTTTTGAGTTTGAATTTTTGTTTTGAATAATTTTGCAAATATTTTCGAAGCCGTGTTCGTTAAAATCAACAATTTTTTACATGAATTATATTTTATTCCATACTTTAAATGCCAGGACGCTTTCAATTAATGACTAATCTACCTATTTGCCATATTTTCTCGTTTGTTTTACTAATTTTTGACCAATTAATAAGCATGTTTTTGTTTTAGAAATTGATATTCAAATTTCCCGCCATATTTTCATAATTTGGTGCATGCGCAGACGTTTTTCCGCGGTGTTCTGTTTGAGGGGGTTCTGGAAACAAACAATACACTGTATGCGCATGACGATCAAGTGTTTAAAAGACACAACCATATTAAATACATGACCACATGTCCACATCATATGCAATTGCAAACAATTTTCAAAGGAGTAGGGTACAGAATTACAACAGTGTAACAACATATAAGTAAATTATACACGACATGAACTTACCAGTTTGTGTTGAGTTAAATTTAAAAATTTTACAGACTCTTTACAGTACAGTATGACATCAAATATTATTTATTTATTTGCAATTCAAAGCATTTTAAAATTCTTGTGTTTTGTATTGCGCCTGCGATACATTAATGGTATTAACCGCTGTGAATATGATTATTATGATATACATTTTTAATACATTACATTTGCGCTCAAAAGTTCAGGAAGTGAGTTTCTAGAAAGGATAAAAACTCCGTTTTATGTATGGTATGTAAAAGGTAATCGTTGTTTACGGTTTATTTTGTATTCAGGTATGGGGAATTTAAGCGATGAGAGTTGCAAAACTTGCAAATCTAGTCTGACTAGTCTCTTTGACGTCATCATGCAACTATTTAATATTGTGCTACATTGATTATTAAATTCATTTGCAGCAATTAGCCTTCTATAAACCATACAAATGATAATAGCTTGTAGCCCACCTTTCCTTTAACATTGATCCCATATATAATGAATTAACATAACTAAACTTGATTATGTTGCTAGTCGAGTATGGGACCTATGGGTCTTCTAGATTCTAGAGTATCACAATTAATATAAAGTCTCCATAAGGCGGTAATATTAAAGACTGTTCTTATTTATGCATGACCTTTGACTATTAAGGGGCCAAAAATTGTGCCTACAGTAGTCAACTTATTCCACTATCCAGGTTGCATCACTTTTAATTGCAAAACACCTGGGTTTATTATACATGGATTTGCTAGCAAAATAGCAGCAATTGATGAACTTGGTGTTATACTAAGATTTACTAAATGTGTAAAGAAACAACGAAAAGTGTATGTATATATATATATATATATATATATATATATATATATATATATATATATATATATATATATATATATATATATATATATATATATATAGTATATATATATAAGTATATATATATAAGTATATATATATAAGTATATATATATAAGTATATATATCTATCTATATCTCTATATCTCTATATCTCTATATCTCTATATCTCTCTATATCTCTCTATATCTCTCTATATCTCTCTCTATCTCTCTCTATCTCTCTCTATCTCTCTCTATCTCTCTCTATCTCTCTCTATCTCTCTCTATCTCTCTCTATCTCTCTATATCTCTCTATATCTCTCTATATCTCTCTATATCTCTCTATCTCTATCTATCTATCTATATCTATCTATATCTATCTATATCTATCTATCTATCTATATCTATCTATATCTATCTATATCTATCTATATCTATCTATATCTATCTATATCTATCTATATCTATCTATATCTATCTATATCTATATCTATCTATCTATATCTATATCTATATCTATATCTATATCTATATAAAAAAATGGCGGACGGTCATGACATTTGAGCCACGTCCTTATTGAATTATAACTTGTCTTTTTACATGACTTTTGCTGCAGTGATTAGATTATTAACTTTGTAGTGGTGTTTGGCAACCTGAGCGCCACGTTTTGACACTGCAGAACTCGAAATAACGAAAAAAAACAACAACAACAGAAAGCACGGTACATGCAGCCTTCGATGGCGTCGAATCTGTCATTATCCTTTGATAGCTTTTACGAAACTTGGAAGGATCGTCCAAAGGATAAAATAGTTGAGAAGTTGTTAGAAATTGGAACCGTGTCAACGTTAACTGAATTAAAGTATAAGCTATGCTCGGAATGCCAGCAAGTCTCTCATTTTCCGCAAGGGGATATGTATACAAGAAGAAAGCCTAAGGGAAACAGTACGTTTTCAACACTTGAAGAACGTTTAGCCGAAGATATATGGCAACTAATGGTATGTTTGGATACTGGGGTTGTTCAACCTGCTATTAAATCTATGTTTAAATCTGGAGATGACTGTTTAGCTGAAAACATCATAACAGTGAGTGATAGTAGTGATAACATTGCTGAGCAAATATTTGGGACTCCCATTCTTAATGCTACGCAAGGGCGAAGTGATATTTCTGGTCTAGAGTCGCGTTTAGCACACAAACATTGCTCCGATCGTATAGCTTCTGTCGAAGCAGATTTGTTTATTTTGAAGGAGAAATTTACTCATGATATAAATGATATTTTAGCGCAGTTATCTCAAAAGGAAAAAACTATTCAGAAACAAGAGAGCGAAATAAATCAATTGAAATCTGAAAATTTAACATTAAAATCTCGCTTATTGACACTCGAAAAGCGAGCACCAAATTTAAATTTAAATAAAGAAGCACGCCAAACTTATTCAGAAGCGACAATGAACCCCAACAATAAACCAAAAAATAACGATGCAAACGGCGTAACCAGTTCAAAAAACACTATTCCCCTGCCAATTAGTACGGCTAGGCCAACACCAGGCAAATCACCTTCGATTGAATCTATTGAAAAAACAAAAAACAATGCCGCATCCAATATGACAAATGGCAATGTAACTAACAAGTCTGTAGTCAACGCTATTGTTGATGAAGACAATGTACATACAAATTCGGATACTAATCGCCATTTAACCATTCAACCAAATCAAAACAAACTTCAGCCTAATTTATCAAAAGCGCCAGATCATGTCCCGAATGTAGATTTAACTTCGGAAGCTGATGGTGATGGCTTTGTCGGCGTTAAACGTAAACGTAGACATATTAAAAGATTCTTTTTAAGTGGAATTTCTGACACCGTAACCTATGAAACCATAATTGGTTTTCTAGAAAAGAGAGAGATCCAGCCCACTCAATTGAGAATATTTCCAAGTCGGCGAAAGGGGACTATTTCGGCCAAATTGAATGTAAATGCAAAAGATTGTTCTGTTATATCTCAAAAAGATTTCTGGCCAGCTTTTGTGTCTTGTAAACCTTGGTTAACGAAAAATAAACTTGATACTATAAATCAAGACAAACCAACTAATCAATCCAATGAATAGTGTAAACAAAGACAATATACGTATTGCGACGCTAAATGTGGGCGGACTGATTTGCAATATACCATATATAGAGCAATGCTTAAATAACACAGACATATTAGTTATCCAAGAACACTGGCTTTACCCTGATTCTATATCAATTATTCAAACATTACACCAAAACTTTACGGGTTGGGGAAGATGCAGTAGCAATTTGGACTTAAATTCACTATGGCGGAGAGGCAAAGGGGGCATTGCTATTTTTTGGAGAAAATCATTAAACGCAAGCGTAGAAATACTAGACGAAATAGGAAATGACCGAATTGTAGCCATTAATTTTAAAACCTCGGACAAATACAATTTCTATATTATTGGAGTATATTTTCCCTCGTCTAACCTACCCCTTCCTGTCTATAAAGAAACTCTTGAAGCCCTAGAGGACGTCACTAATGAACTTTCCAATCGCGGGTCCTTTATGGTTCTTGGTGACTTCAATTGCCACATAGGCTCTTCGGGGGGACCTAGAAGCTTTGCAGACATAAACATTAGAGGAACACATTTCAAAAGAATAATGAAGAGACTATCATTGATCTCTGTCAATTCACAATCGTTTTGTACAGGACCAATTGAAACGTTTTATAGCAACAATGGACTAACTAAAACAACAGTAGACCATATTCTCATTAGGAATGATCACATAGACCTTGTCAAATCTTGTCTTGTAGCTGATGATGATTGTGGAAATCTTTCATTTCATCGACCAATTTTCTGTACTATAAAACTATGTGCAACAAATAAATTGAACAATTTCATACCAAAGCCTCCTCCAGCATGGAAAATGATCGCTGTTCCTTCAGTTAGGCAAGCTTATGAATCAAATGTAACTGCTGCTCTTGACACTTTACAGTTTGAAGATTGTTCGCACGTTGATATTTCATCAATAGACGATATGCTAACAGATGTAACAACTGCGCTTCAATCATCTGCGGATCAATCGATCCCAAAATTGAAATTTAAAAGTCACCTCAAGCCTTATTGGAAAGAAGGTTTGAAACCTCTGCACAAAAAGTGTCGTCACTTTCGCAAGATTTGGATAACGCAGGGACGTCCGCGGGATCCTAATAACGCATTTTTCCGTGCTTACAAGCAAGCCAAACGTGATTTTAGAAAGCAGCTTAGACGAAAAGCCTATGAATATGAGTCTAAAGAGTACGAAAGATTTGAAAACATTTTTGAGCAAGACAGAGGTGCATTTCAACGCACCATGTCAACACGACGCAAGGATAGAGGACTACAATCATATACTTTGAAGATAAACGGAAAGACTATAGATGACCCGAACGAGTTACGCGAAGTGTGGAAGGATCACTATTTAGATTTGTACAAGCTTAAATATAATTCAAACTTCGACGCAAAGTTTACTTCCTATGTTGAAAATTGCTTGGTAGATTATGAAATTAAAAGTCTAAATGCGAATTACGATGCCCTGGACGCTGCCTTTACGCTTAACGAAATTAGCAGTACGTGTGTACAGTTACCGAATCGAAAGGCATGCGGACCTGATGGTCTGTATTATGAACATGTTAAGTACGGGGGTCAAGCGGTCATGAAGGTTCTCACTGAAATACTCAATGCCATTAGAGTAATGGAGGAAATTCCTAATGTTCTAGCTGTTGGTGACATTATATCTCTGTATAAAACTAACAAGAAAGATAGGCATAATAAAGACAATTACAGAGGCATCACGTTGCTGAATGTTGTCGGGAAAATTTTTGAAAGACTGATACTTAACAGATGGATGCCCTTCTTTGGTGAGAAAGGATTTCCGAACAACCTGCAATACGCATATCAGGCAGGAAAAAGCTGCCTTGATGCTACAATGTCACTGCAAGAAGCTGTTTTACATAACATTGAAAACGGAAGCAAAGTCTATGGCTGCTTCTTGGACACAGCAAAGGCTTTTGATACTGTGTGGATCTCTGGAATGTTTTATAAAATGTTCAATCTTGGTATTCAAGGAAAAACCTGGAGACTGCTAAGAAACTGGTACAGCAAGCTTACTAGTCGTGTCATATTTGATGGAGCACCGTCTAGCGAATTTCCTATTCTTCAAGGTGTACGACAAGGTGGCGTGTTATCGCCATGGCTTTTTATGATATTTAATAATGATTTACCACAGGTTCTAAATGAATGCAACGA